CTTGATTCACTTTTTTTCCTTGAAAGAGCCCTCTAAAGTAAATCCTACTTCATTCCATCTTACAAAGCTGAAATCTAGGGTTCAGAAAGCTTAAATAACTTTTTAGTTCAAGATTATACAGCTAATAAATAGTGGAACTATTTTTTTTATAATAGGATAGTCTGACTCCAAAGTCCATTCTGTTAATCTTAATCATTATACAACATTGACTTCTTCGTGAATTCTCATATATAATTTCATTGATTCCTTTTAATTTTGTCACTGAAATGTCTCTTGAATCAGTTCTTTCTTTGTTCCCTGATGCTATCTAGTTCAGACACACATCTTGTACATACTTAAACATTTGTATATAGGCGGTACATTTTTCTATTTATAAATATGATATATACTGGCTGTAAGAAAATTCATCACAGATCTAGGTAGTAGAAGTTCCCCAACCCCAACTTCTAAAGATAAACACAATTAAGGTGTAGTATGCATTCCTCATTTTTTCTATGTATATAGAAGCATATTACAGTTTTTAAATGCAATCACATCATATTGAAACTCACCTTTCTTATTTCATATATCAGCACATACAGATCTACTTTGTTGTTCTTTTTAAAAACTATTTTTTATTTAAAAAAATTAATGTTTACTTATTTTTGAGAGGGGGGAGGAAGGGGCAGAGAGAGGGAGACAGGATCTGAAGCAGACTCTGCACTGACAGCAGAGAGCCTGATATGGGGCTCAAAGTCATGAACCATACAATCATGACCTTAGTTAGCTGAAGTCTGTCGCTTAACCGACTGAGCCAGCCAGGCACCCCATGTTCTTCTTTTTTTATTAGGTAAAATGGACACATATCTTATACAAAGTTAAAAAGGCACAAAAGTGTATATTTTGAAAAATAAGTCTCCCTTCACCTTTGTTCCTCTTAGTCACCTATCAGAATTGATGTCACTAGTTTCTTGGGAGCATTCGGAGGCCTCATTCCTCTGAATAGCAGCATAGCTGTCCATTGTATGGATGTGCCAAGTCCATACACCAAATTACTTTGGTGTTTCGTTAGAGGGACACTTAGATCGTCTCCAGTGCTATTACCCATTAGGATCTAAATTCCATGTCAATGTTATCAGTTACTTATCACTCTTAACTTTGTTGGCAATAAAGTGTTCCAGATTGTATAGGTGCACCAGAATTCATTCATCATTTCTCTACTGATGAGAATGTAGGCTTAAATACAGTTTGCTCTGCTCCTAGGGTACCTGTCCTATTAAATACATCTGCCATTTACCGGCAGTATAGTTTCTTACGTACTCCTCCAGTGCGCTGTGAGCTCCTCAAAAGCAGGGGAAATTGTTCATGTTCATCTTTGTATCCTCATAGCCTAAGCACCGAATTTGGTCCAGAGTACACGCTTTCCACGTTTAGGTACAATAATAATTGAATCGCCCGCCCTGAGTCCTGGAACCGAGTGTGAGGAGACGAAGCGAAGGCAAAGCCGTGCCCTTTTAAGCTGTCCCAGCCTCAGAGGTCCGGAACTTTCGTTAGACGTTTCATTGTTTCTCAGGGAGGATTTTAGCCTCCGAGCGTGCCCCGCACAAGCATGGTTGTTACGCACCGGAAGTAGCTTGTTATTTTGCGGGAGTCAGTTCTTCCGCGGGGCGGAAAAGGCAATTAAGCATGTGTTCCTATGTTTTCCAGTCCCCTTTCCTTGCAGGACCCTATGAGCAAGCTGTGGCGGCGCGGGAGCACCTCTGGGGCTATGGAAGCCCCTGAACCGGGTAGGCGCGGGTCGGTAAAGCAAGTTAGGCGTTCTCAGAAAAGGAGTCCCTTTTTTTGCTCTTCCGAGCCTCCGGGGTACTTAGCCACAGGTGGGAAGGAGAAAGGCGGAGGTGTTGTTATGGTAACAGCGTGTACCGCGGGAAGAGTGGGCCCCTTCGGGGGTATTGGGTTCTTCAAGGCTTTCCCTGCCCGGCTGTTGTGGTCCACTGTTGACAGGCTTTCCTTACGCAGGGGAAGCACTGGAATTGAGTCTGGCGGGTGCCCACGGCCATGGAGTGCACAAGAAAAAGCACAAGAAGCACAAGAAAAAACACAAGAAGAAACACCATCAGGAAGAGGAAGCTGGGCCGACGCAGCCGTCACCTGCCAAGCCCCAGCTTAAACTCAAAATCAAGCTGGGTGGGCAGGTCCTGGGCACCAAGAGGTGAGGCCAAGAAAGCCAAGGTTTTACTTGAGGAACTTTAGGAGCAAGCAGAGGTAGAAGAAGCTCTCTGGGCTTTCCAATAGAAGAGAATGGACACTGATTTCAGGGCTGAGGTTAAGGTAGCGAGAACCCAAGAGGGTGCAGGGGAGGACTGGAAAAGGCTACCAAGCAGGAGGAGACAACTGCTCAGCTTACACAGTGGTTGCTTTTCTGCAGTGTTCCTACTTTCACTGTGATACCTGAAGGTCCTCGATCACCCTCTCCCCTTATGGTTGTGGACAATGAAGAGGAACCTATGGAAGGAGTCCCCCTTGAGCAGTACCGTGCCTGGCTGGGTGAGAAGGATCTGGAGGTGGGGAAACTGGGTTTCTCATTATACCTGATTAAAGGAGGAGGGTTGGTTCTGAGGATGGTGAGAATTTTGAGTGTCCCAGTATTAACTTGGCTAAATTAGGGTTCCCCATCTGAACAATTTTACTTTTAGCATTCCAACTTTGCTTTCCAGATGAAGACAGTAATCTATCCCCCTCCCCACTTCGGGACCTGTCGGGGGGCTTAGGGGGTCAAGAGGAAGAGGAGGAACAGAGGTGGCTGGATGCCCTGGAAAAGGGAGAGCTGGATGACAATGGAGATCTCAAGAAGGAGATCAACGAAAGGCTGCTCACTGCTCGACAGGTAAGTCGGTTCATTCTTTATTCACTTGCTAAACATATATTGAGAATTTCTCATGTCCCAAGAATGTTACTAGGCAGTGGGGATATCGATGGTGAAAAAAAGACAGAAAAGGTTTCTGTTCTCATGGAGTAGTATTCGTGTGTGTGTGTGCGTGCGTGTGTGTGTGTGTGTGTGTGTGTGTGTGTGTGTTGGGGGGAGAGGGGTAAGTAAATAAATAATTTTGAAGAGCACGGTTTATAACAAAGATAGGGTGATGAAATAGAAAGTGGTGGAGAAGAAATGTTAGATAGTGTAGTCAGGGAAGACCTCTCTGAAGAAAGTACATTTCCAATACCAGGGGAGCTTTTCAGGCAGAGACCAGCAGGTGCAAAGACCCTGAGAGTGGAACATGCCTAGTATTGGTCAAGGAGAAAAATAAGTGTGACTAAGCCATGAAAGTATTGTTTGCAGGAAAGTGATACATTTGATTTATATTTTGGTAGATTACTTTGGCTTCTTCGTGGAGGTAAGGAGTAGAAGCAACATCTGCCAGGAAGCTGTAGGAATCAGGTGAAAGATGGGGTGGTGGCTTGAACCAAGGCGAAATTGTGGAGAAGGAGGAAATCAGATGGATTCTGGATCTATTTTGGAAATAGACACCTGTTAGGAGTCAGGGAAGGGGTAGCAAAGGAGTCAAGGGTAACCCTGAGTTTTGGGCTTGAGCAGTTATCCAATTGATGCTCTCCACTGAGATGAAAAGATTTAAAACAGCAACAAAACAAAACAAAACCACCCTGGAGAGGTGGTAAACAAAGTTTGGGGGCAGGCAGGAAATATTACTAATGCTTTTCTTGAGAGTCAAGGGTCGAAAGACGAAAGTCTGGGGATCTGGGAGGAGGCAGTACTAAAAGGCACCTGGAGAGGTGCTCATTCCACTTCTCTCTAGTCCAGCACTCCTCAAAGACCCTGCTTTCCCTGCCTTCGTTTGTTCAGAACTCCTCTCTCTGACACCCCTCGGTCTGTCTCTCCCCAGCGAGCTCTGCTCCAGAAGGCGCGGAGTCAGCCTTCTCCGATGCTGCCACTGCCCGTGGCTGGGGTCTGCCCTGCCCCGGCACTCACCGAGGAGATGCTGCTGAAGCGCGAGGAGAGGGCGAGGAAGAGACGGCTGCAGGCGGCTCGGCGGGCGGAGGAGCACAAGAACCAGACTATTGAGCGCCTCACTAAGACTGCGGCGCCCAGCGGACGGGGAGGCCGAGGGGCAGCGAGGGGCGAGCGGCGGGGCGGGCGGGCCGTGGCCCCAGCCCCCATGGTGCGCTACAGCAGCGGGGCACAGGGTTCCACCCTTTCCTTCCCACCCGGCGTTCCCGCCCCCGCACCAGTGTCTCAGCGGCCATCCCCATCTGGCCCTCCTCCTCGATGCTCTGTCCCGGGCTGCCCTCACCCGCGCCGCTACGCCTGCTCCCGCACGGGCCAGGCGCTCTGCAGCCTTCAGTGCTACCGTATCAACCTGCAGATGCGGCTTGGAGGGCCCGAGGGCCCCGGATCTCCCCTTTTGGCTACTTAAGGTCCTTACTTAACCCGGACTCTGCGCCCTCTCCCCTGCCCCCATTTTTATTATTTTCCCCACCCTATTAAATTTCATCCGGTGCCTCAACTTGTACAGAATTGGGGGAATGGGGTATGGGCAGGTCAATTCCTCGCACACACGATACCCTCACGGGAGCTTGCATCAAGCCCCGGGAAACGACCACTAGGCCTAAAGAAGACTGACCGATCTGCCCCCCAAACTTGGGCGGACTTTTGGGACCCCCCCCCCTCCCCCGCCTCTTCATCGGAGTTACCTGGCTTGGTTGGGCCTTCGGCGTCATCCCGAAAATAGCGCTCAAGCCAATCAGCAGAAACTTTGCTTTTCTGGGCGGCCGTTCATTGGTTGATAACGCAGAGCCCGTTCTGTTGTCCATATTGGCTATTGTCGCTGTCAGTCAGGGCCGTGGGTCGAACCTTACCCCACTCTTTGTCTGTGTAAGCTCTTGTTGTCTCGGAGAGTGGCAGAGGCACTGCTGTAGATTGGTCACTGGGAGAAACCTCTGGTCCGTTGCTATTGGCCCGCCCGCCGGCGGGCGTTGCTGATTGGTAGGACCGAGCAATCTGGGTCCTAGTTGGCAGCGCTCTCCCCGGATGGAAGCTCCGGCCGCGGAGTGATGGTGGCGGCAGAGAAGATGGGCCGGGCAGGGACCATGGCAGAGGTGGCAGGGGCGGGGCGCCTGGCAATAGAGGAGGCTGTGGTCTACAGGGGGCTGTAGGTGGAGGCATGGCTCAGGCCAGCAGCGGGAACGGCAGCGAGGAAGCCTGGGGGGCACTTCGGGTGCCGCAACAGCAGGTATCCCAACTGTTCCAAAAGCCTATCACGACAGCCATTTATTTCTCTTTTCCCTTTCCTTGTCCCTTCCTTTTGCGGGGTTGGGGAGGAACTCAGGTAGCCAAAGGTACTGTGAAGTTCCTAAACATGTCCCTTCTACTCTGTCTAAACTTTGTAACGTAGATGCAGTTGACTTTGCCTGCAGCTTCTTAGACCCCATCCCATGGCTGCAGTGGAAGCTTGCAGTGGCTCTCCAGTGACCAGAGGCATAGTGAGGCCCAGGGAAGCTCCCTCTGTCTTGCAACAGTTATTTGTGATGTTTTTCTGTGTGCGTGTTGTCACAACAGAGTCGGGCAGCGTCTTCTCTTGAGGGAGCAATTTGGAGAAGAGCTGGAACCCAGACTCATGCCCTGGATGCCGTCGTTTATCATCCACAGCAGTCCCATCTGGTTGGGAGCATTGCTCTGGGTCTCATATGGCCCTTCCTATACCCTAGGAAGCCTGAGACCCAAGGGTGGAAAGACCCAGCTTGGGGGTGGGGAAGCAGGCCCCGGGAGGATAATGAAAGCATCTTAACATTGGAAATTACCTTAAACCCCTTACCTATTGTCTGAGACTTTGAGATGGCTCAGACTGCCCTCTGGCTTCTGCCCAGACACTCTGTTAACAGAAAACACCCTGGGGAGCCAGCCTGAGTGTGAGAGGTCTCCTATATGCAGAACTGAAATCTGCCTCTTTGTATGTCCACACTGTGCATTTAGTTCTCTAGATAGATACTTGCTATTCCAAATGCCTTCACAGGCCTTCACGTCGACAGCCCTTCTGACATTTGAACACTCCTCTCTCCATCACTCTTCCCCTCCCCATAGGTCTCTGAGCTCAGCTTGGTTCACAGGGTGGGACTGTGTCCGTGCATGCAGCGGGGTGGGGGTGGACAGTGCCTGGGGCTGGAATCTCCCTTGGTTCTAAGTGCCTCCTTGCTCCCAGCTTCGAGAGCTGTGCCCAGGAGTGAACAACCAGCCCTACCTCTGTGAGAGTGGTCACTGCTGCGGGGAGACAGGCTGCTGCACCTACTACTATGAGCTCTGGTGTGAGTCTCCAAGGGGGCTATTCTCGGGTCCTTCTGCCCACCTGCCCTTGGGCCTCAAAATTCCAGTCTTCATGGACCTTTCTCTGCGTGGGAGGTATCTAAGACCCTCCCTCACCCCTTGCAGGGTTCTGGCTGCTCTGGACTGTCCTCATCCTCTTTAGCTGCTGTTGCGCTTTCCGTCATCGACGAGCTAAACTCCGACTGCAGCAACAGCAGCGGCAGCGTGAGATCAACTTGTTGGCCTACCATGGGGCATGCCATGGGGCTGGCCCTGTCCCTTCCGGTTCACTGCTTGACCTTCGTGAGTGGCTTGAGGCTCTGGGCTCACTACCAGCGGCCCCTCCCAACCCAGAACCCTGAATCATCCCCACATTCCCTTTTCAGACATTTCAAAGCACACTTTACCTAATAGCAAAGATACTACTACTACCCCACTGCTGGTTGCCCCACCGACCATACCATTCTTTCCTGCAGGCCTTCTCAGCGCCTTCAAACCCCCTGCCTACGAGGATGTGGTTCACCGCCCTGGCACACCACCGCCTCCTTACACTGCAGCCTCAGGCTGCCCCTTGACTGCTTCCAGTGAACGTACCTGCTGCTCCTCTGCTTCTAGCTGCCCTACCCGCTGCGAGGGAACAAATGTGGAAGGTGTTTCCTCCCACCAGAGTGCCCCCCCTCATCAAGAGGATGAGCCTGGGGCAGGGGTGAGCCCCGCCCCCACGCCCCCATCCTGCCGTTATCGCCGCCTGACTGGTGACTCAGGTATTGAGCTCTGCCCTTGTCCTGACTCCAGTGAGGGCGAGCCAATCAAGGAAGCTAGGGCTAGTGCCACTCCACCAGATTTGGAGGACCCTTGTGTGCTGTCCCTTGATCCTGTGCCCCAGGTCTCTCCTGTGGGGCTAGCTTCCAGTGAAGGGGACATCCCATAATCAGTTTTGGGAGGGTGGGTGGATTACTTGCCCACCAGAAACAGCCCTGGCCCCAACTCCTCTGAGTTCTCCTTGGCCTTTCCCTGCCTCCTCGAATCTGCCTGAAAGGGGTGGAATCCTGAGGAGAGTGGCTGTGTTTGGGGGACTGTGCTAGCTCTACCCCCTAAAACATACACAGAAGCCTTTGATCTCATTAAAGAGATGTGAACCAGCTGCTTGTGAATTTGGGTGGACTGGTGCTGAACTTCTGCATCGCACTTGACCTGACTGGATTTGAGGGGACAGGTAATAGCCACGTTTCCCAACCTCCTCTGAAGAAAAGCAGGCAGCTCTAAGGTCTGGACTGAGCTAAGACTTCTTGGTGAGGCAAAATTGGCAAAAGCAATGGAGTTTGGCATGGTTTTCCAATTTATTTAGAAAAATAGACTCTGAATTCACATTCACCCCGGGGCTATGTGGGATGACAGTAAGGAGACACCTGAGATGAGCTGAGGAGAGTTTGAAGCGCTAGTATCTGAGAGCTGGGGGCAGAAGCTAGGGACCTGGTCCCTTTAGTCCAGAGTGGGGGCCTGGCTCCCCTCTCACCCTTCCCCTTCAGTAGTCTTCAGCCATGGCCAGTAGGACAAGGCTGGTCCAGCCTTGGAAAGGGCGGCAGCCCATACCCCTCCCATCCCGGTCACTATACTGCTCCCAAAGGAAACCTGTGGCCTGGTACTGCCGCCACACATTGCCTACCACATTGGCACGGAGCTCACTGTGGAGCTTGGCAGCCCGGGCCCGGTGGGGACCCTCCAGATGACCATAGTGGTAGAGAGCCCCTAAGGCTAGGTAGTTAACATTGAGCCACACAGCACCCCGCCAGTAGGGAGGATCATGCTCTGAATTGCGCTGGCCATAAAAGGGGCTGGAGGCTGCGAGGGAGCGCAAACCAAAGGGGCTCCAGAGATGGCGGCTGTCAGCTAGAACATCCAGCAGGGGCCCAAGGCGGGATGAGTTGGGGTCCAGCAGCCGCAGCAGCATGGGAAAGAGACTGACGTAGCCCAAGGCATCCACATACTGTAAGCGAGGGTGGGGCCGGCCCACTACCCGCACCAGCCCCTGGGGGGGCCGAGGCTTCAGCTGCACTGCTTTTGTGTGGTTCCCAAAGTCTGCAAAGACTCCTAGCTCTGGGGCCCAGTGCAGCTCATCCAGGCTCTCCTCTGCCTCCAGTGAGGCAGCCAGTGGGCCCAGCTCTGCAGCCGCCTCAGCCTCTCCCAGCTGTTCTGCCAGCCGCACCAGCACACGGGCACCCAGTGCCACCCAGCACCGCAGGTCAAGGTGCCGCTCACTGGCTGAGGGGTGTGAAGCTCGGGGATAGTCATCCAGCCCTGAAGGCAGTGTCTTAGGGTTCAACAGGGTTGGCAAAGCGGGGTCCCGGCCCCGCCAGCGGTAAGATAGTGGCACTGGCCCTGCCTGGCTCTTGTAGATCCAGGAGAACCAGGCATGCAGACGGGGGAAGGCCCTGCGGAGGAAGGCAAAGTCAGCAGGGTCACCACCCTCTAGCATGTGGGCTACAGGCAAAAGCAGGGTTGGGGGGTTGGCATGGGCTGCCCGTTGCACCAGGAATTCTGGGGGCACCCGGGCTCGGGCCTCATCTCCTAGTACCTGCTCTCGTCCAATCCAGCCATCAGCATTGAGCAGCCCCAACCAGTGGCCTAGGGCTTCCCGGGTAAGGCGGGGATCCCACCGCTGTACCACGAGCTGGTGAAAGCCCTCATCCCAGAGGAAGCCTCGTGGGAAGAATGATCGGGAGGGCACTGCTGTGAAAAGAGGGACAGGTGGAAAGAGAGCTGGGTCCACCTTCTGCTCAGACCCCTCAACCCCCATGTCTGCCAACACCAGACCCTGTCCATAGAAGTAGCCAATTCCACCAAGGAGGCCACTGAGGGCAGCCTGACCCAAAACCTGCTCCTCAGAGCTCAGCCCCTTCTTCTTCAGCTGAAAGGTCTTCTCAAAGCGCTCTCTAAAGGCTTCAGCATGGCTCTCCAGGGCCTGGGTGAGCAGGCTGCCTGCCAACTGTGCCAGGGCTTGTCTTTCTCCTGCCCGGGCACTGCCCGATTCAAACACCAACTCCACAGAAAAGGGGACTTTCAGTGTCACCTGTTGTATCAAGAATTGCCCTTGTCCCTGTCCTTGCCCACTTGGGCCTCTGTCCTCCCACTTCAGAGATCCTGGCAAGCCGAGGTAGCGTTCAGGGGAAGCCCCTGGGGGCCGATGCTGAAACCAGCTTCTTAGGCGACTCTTCACCATCTCTGTGAGCAAGGGAAGTCCTGGGTTGGAGGACCAGAAGACATTGTAGCTTGAAGGGAAGAAGATAAATTGGAAATATTACTCAGGAGAAAATGGTGGGGATTATAAAGAGAAATAAGAGGTGATCAGGAGAGTCAAGATGGGAGGGTCTTGGCAATGCAGGGGACTTGGAGCCTGGTGAGAAGGGAACTAACTGGTGGAAAGAAGGTAGAGTGGGGGAGATAGATATCAGGCTAAGTCAGCATCCATACCATCCCTACCATCACCCCACACTCTCTTCCCCGTTACCTGCTATACTTGGGGGCAGTATCCCCTGGATGGGTTGGTGGCATAAGTGTAAAGCGGAAGTCACCAAGTTCACTGGAGTGTCCACTGATGAACTTCAACTGCCCTTTGGCCCCAACCTCTGGTACTAGGACTTCCTTGCCATCTGTCACCACATAGAAGAACAGGGACACCAAAGGCAGGGCAGAGGTATCCGAGGCCTGTGTGACCAAGGAGGACAGAAAAACATAGCATTAGATTAGTAGTCTCTCCTGAAAATCCAGCCTTACTCAAAGGGACGCCATGCAGGAGCAACATGGTAAACATATATCTGCAGCGTTGAGGGTCAATGAGCGTTAAGTACCTAGTGAGATGAGGTATGGAGATTTGCACAGGGATCTCTGGGAAACAGTGTTTTTGTGTTGCGTACTATGCTAAGAACTCTACACATCATTTTCTTTTATTCCTACAATCCTATGAGTAAAGTGTTATTTGTATCTCCATTTTGCAGACACAGAAACCACAGATTATGGATAGTAAATAGAGATGGTCTATACAGGCAAGTGTTTAAGGCAGGCAGCCAGATTCAGAGCCCCTGCTGTTAACCTTCACAACATACTCAGTTTGCTGGCAGCAAAGAAAGGGTGGAGGGAGTCTGGGCTGGGGGAAGGGTGTCCTGAGGCCCTGACCTGAGGCTCTACAGTCACTCTCCAGCTCCAGTCCCCTCCGTGCTGACCCCCAGGCCTCTTGACGAACTCAGTCGTGAGTCTTAGGGCCCCATCCTGGATGTGTTGCCGCCCGAAGGAGAGACCGTCGTGGAACTCCCAGCCATAGGGACCCACGCCGTCCCCCTGCTCACACGTGTGCCTGAGCTTAGGGGTCCCTGCGGTGGCGCCTTGCTGCGCCCACATCAGTCCTGGGGGTAGAATGGCCACGTAAGTCAAAGAGAGAGCAGGGGACCTGTCCCTCTGGGTCTCCGAGAACTTCACGATCATTCATCCTCATAACTCTTCTGAACCATCCCTCCCCACTGTTGCTCTGGCGTGAAGCTGGGGCGCCCAGATTAAGAGTCCGCCTGCCTGCCCTCCCGCCCCGAGGCCCAGTTACCGGTGAGGAGCGGCTTCGGACTGCGAGTCTTCATGCCGAAGTAGACGTGAGGGCGGTAGGTGCCCCAGAAGAGGTCCGGGGCCACGGCGGGGCTGGAAGAGTCGGGAGGCAGTGCCGAGGGTGCGGAGTGCAGTGTGACCGCCCGCCGCACACGGTGCCACGCCAGCAGCCAGAATCCTGACAGGCCCAGGGCCAGAGACAGGACCACAACGCCCAGAGCCGCTCTCCCGACAGCGCCACGGGCCGCGCCGCCCCGTCGTGCGGGGCCGCCCCGAACCACCCTTTCAGCTATCCGCGCTCCTTCTGCCGGGGTTCCACGGCGCCGCCGCTCGCCCCGAGCCATCCTGGCACGGACGTCGGCGTCGCAGTGCTCGGAGAGGCGGCAATGGAGCCCAGGTCCTGCCTTGCTTCCCCGGCTTCCGCGCTGCGCCCGGAGACCACAGACCTGTCACCCGCGCCTGCCGGTCCGCGCCTCTCGCTCCGTTTCCGTCTCCCGCCGGAAGTCCCGCCCCGCCACGTCAGATTAAGTCTCAAAGTCCGGAACCGCCGTCACCCGCGTGGTTTAGGGCTAGCTGTACCCTGGGTTAACGTTTCTTTGGCGTCCTTGCGGATTTCACAGGCTAGTAGATACAAGTAATCTCACGTTGGCTTTTTTTGTTTTTTCAAATGACTATATATTAACAACCTGAGACGCCATCCCGAGTGGTTGACATTTAACCGCCCCCTAACCCGCCCCAGGCAGGTGGCTGAAAACTGTGGCCTAGAAAATTCAAGTAACTTGGCCCCGGCCACAGAGCCAGGAAGTGGCTAGCGTAGAGCCGAAGTGTATCTAAAACAGACTGGATCGTTTTGCCCACGTTCATGCCTTCTTTCCAACTTAAGTGGAGTGTGCTGGAGTGGACCCAAAAGGAAGCGTGAAATCTTTTTTTTTTTTTTT